AGTGCTCATTTGGTGTAACTGTAGTTTTTAATAAAAGTTTTATTAGAAAGAAATTATTGTAAAAGTATTATTTTTGTAAATAAAAATAAAAATAAAAATAAAATAAAAATAATGTATTAATTTTATTAAAATTCAAATGAAAAATTTTTACATAAGTATTATTTGGATATTTTTAAAATTTATAATAAAAAAAATAAAAAAATTAACTTATAAAAAATTATAATATTTGATATAATCGAGACTTTTAAAGTCTAAAAAGATTTCCCACACACCAAACGTGCACTCAATGTATTTAGCCTAAAGCTGCTGAATTGAATGCAGCGTCAGAAAGGATCCCAAATGATTTCAAAACAACACCACTTATTACCACTAAGTGCAGTACAGGGAGTCAGGTCCACTCCACTGTCCACAGAAGGGGAACATGCATGCATTCGGGACTGTTTCTTGTTAAGGAATTGGAGAGAACAACAAAGTCTTTCCAATAAATTGACCTCAACTACATTACAATTTAAATGAAAAAGAATAAAAGAATAATTGCCAATCGTCAATTGGATATGTGATTGTGTATTATGGTAGTAGTATCTCAGTAATTAACGAACGGTAGGGTGCAAATGTTCTTGTGGAATGATTGACAGATACCCTTTATTCTTGAAAGAATAATGCTAATTGTACTTAGATCCTAATTGACCTAGGTGTAACCTTCCTTTTGAAAAACAAATTAAGAACATTTAATGAGAAAAGGAACTTGGGTTATCAAATCCAATGTCGTTGTGTCATGTTAAAATGCATTATCTTTTTTTTTAGACAATGATTTGAATTGATTTTCCTACAAAATACTTCAAAAAAAAAAAAAATAATGAGAAAAGGAGTGCACATGGCACACATCTTGTTGAAATTAGTTTGGACCATTAGATTTGTGCATTGTTGATGATAAGACCAAACATTCCAAGAATTTCAAGAGGGAACAATTTCCGAGCAACCGGTAGTATCATCCTTAATGCTATATAGGGTCAACGTCGAAATGTTCTTTGTATTTCAACTTCAGAACTCAGAAAACTAGTGAGGGATAAATTATTATTATTATTACTATTATTATATATTTTTTATTTAATATATTTTATAATATATTTATTAAAGTTTTATATTTTTAAATTTAAATTAAATGTGAAAAAATTAAAAATTATTGATTTTAATAGATAAATCAATGAGTATTATAAAATATATTAAAATAAAATATACATTAATCATTATTATCATTATTATTAATATTGTTATTATATTAAATGATTAATTACATGTTATCGTAGATATTTTTTTAAATTTAAATTAAATGTGAAAAAATTAAAAATTATTGATTTTAATAGATAAATCAATGAGTATTATAAAATATGTTAAAATAAAATATACATTAATCATTATTATCATTATTATTAATATTGTTATTATATTAAATGATTAATTACATGTTATCGTAGATATTTTTTTGGATAAAATTTATTGTAAAGAATTAAATTTGTAAGTACTAATTAATCTAATTAAACTTCTGTTGGTACTTGACTGTCATATTATTTATTATAAGAATATCTGTTTGCTTGTCCCATATATTCATTTATAAACACGTATATATAGATTTGTGTTTTTAAATATGTTCCATAAGTAAGGATCGATTAAAGATTTATCCTTATCTGCAATATTATTGTGATAAGACTATTGATCGTTGCTCGGCTGAAGATTATGCAAAGAAATGGAAAACGGAAAGAAATGGGACCCTAGATTCATTATTAATAATTCAACATAAATACGTCAATAAATTAAATGCATATTTGCTATAATTGATAGGAAATTTTTTTCGATTTTAAAAACTTCAAGTACATCAAACACTATTACTTATATATGAAAAAATACTATAATTTTTTATAAATTAA